GGGTTGAATTATTTTAGCTCTTGCACACGTACATTAATTGCATGTCACATGACTGTATAATATTTAAAGTACAAGTATAAGCATATTAAAAGGTATGTGAACATGTTATCAAAAGTGTGTTGGTTGAATACTACTTTCCTTAATTATTGCGTTCATTGTCAAATAGGCGACAACATCATCGCGGCTCTATTTGAAGAAGGACTAAAGCAACGTGAGATTGTTGACAAGTTGGATGGAATTTACAACATTTCTATAAGGTACGTACCTATTCTTCTTAATTTTTTTTTGTGTATTAACTATTCTAATTATGGTATCCTGAGCGCATTTACTGCAACGCTCTTTCAAATACAGTATGCAACCCACTCAATGTCGTTTTAATGTTGAGAATGTTGAAACATACAATTTATAAATGTTTACAAATCATGTATTTTTTCTTCAGTTTACGTCAACTTCAGCGAATTCTTGCTCTGATTGGCTTGAGACAGCGAGGAGGAGAATGGGTGGAAGCTCCCCATCATGTGCTTCGTCATGCTGTGGAGGTATGATATGGATGATATATATACCGTATATACATGTAAGGGAAAAGCTTTAGCTGGAAAAAACATTTTCTCATCTTCGACATGGAAAACTTACCGCGCTTAATCTCAAACAAGCAAGCAACATCTGCCATCTGGGTCCAAAGTGGATGACCATGGCAAGATGAAGAAAGAAACTAAGGTGACATGCAGAATTTGCAAGAAAAAAATTGCACTGAAAGAAGCCAATAAGATCAACATGATGTCGCACCTGAAAACAAATACAGCACAACGATCCCGCAACGACCGTCGACAACGCCACAGGCCCCTCAGTCAACCATAGCTGAGGGAAGAAATATCCGAAAGATAGCCCGCGATGGAGGGAACTGACGAATGCCGTCACTCACTTCATTGGCAAGGAGGTGTTGCCTTTGTACACAGTGGAGAAGGAAGGATTTCGGAAGATGTTTGCTACTTTCGATTGGCAATATGAGCTGCTAGGGCGCAAGTATTTTCCCAACACAGCCATACCAGAGCTGTACAACAAAGTCAGGTTTGGTTCGGTTGGCAGATTTAGAGCATTGGAGATTGTCAAGCACATGTCAAAAGAAAAGAACATAAAAAGTATGAGAATGCCTTCGAAGAGAATAATGTAAGTATAGTCATGCAAACATGATATCAAAAGTCTACAACTTGCCGAAATTAGCAAACCATGCTCAAGACTCATGGACTGAAAAATGGCTGGATGACATGTATGCATCTTAATCTGCTACTATTTTTCCAAATTGTGTACATTATAAGGAGGGGCAACAGAGAAAACAGAAAAAAAATGGACAAAGAACATCAACCCCTTCACGACCATGCAAAGTAGTTGTGTGCAAATGACAATATTCTAAAGTAAACCCTAAGTTCCAACTTGAATATTTCTTAATCATTTATTTAATTATGGCTTCACCATTCATAAAACGTCTATGCAGGCAAGCAAATGGCTGGAAAGGATGGGTGATAGGCCAAGCAATAGCACTGAAGGCCTTCAAGTCGGTAGCAGGTCAAAGAAGAAGACGGTCAAATGTGTGCTTTATTTTTTTTGGGGGGGGGAGCAATGGTCCTTGTTGGGGTTTGTGGGATTTAAGGTTCATCTAATGTAACCTAAAGCAGTCAGTAACATTAATAAACAGTAATTTTTTACTTGTATATTTTTGGATACTTTTATCTTTATTTAGATTGGAATCACCATCACAGGTATTTCTCTACTATCGTGGTTGGATGTACATCTGAAATCCATCCCGGCAACTCAATGGTCCAACATTGCAGTGGTGTATGACAACATGTGTCACCTAGACAACATGATAGTTGCCAGGTCACCTCTGCCTGCGCCGTGGTCTCACATGTGGTATTCACTGAAGAAATTGTGTGGACCGCTTACACATACATCATGTACATGTACAAAATCATACTGACGAGCAGTGTAAGGTGAAATACCATCCCAAATATCACCTTCAAGACACAGATAACACCATGATTTGTGAGCAGACATCTGTGTGGTTGTTGAGGTTCAAAAAAATAGTCTGTGCCATGCCAAAGTACCGCCACTTGTTTTATATCCATCGTATGGTTAAGAGACGTAACAGGTATACAGCTAAGTGCTACGAGCAGGGTGACAACCCTTAATCTACCAAGCTAGGCTCACCCTATGTTGAAATGGGTGATGAAACCGAACACTGACACTGGTAACTTGACAAGAAGCATTCACAACCTGCAGAATCTCATCAGAGCTTGTTGCACTCTGCATAACCTGTGCGAGACTGCAGGCGAAGTCTTCGACGAAGCCTTGGTGGAAGGTCTTGCACCAGAAGAGAGAGGTATCGATAACCACTTCCCTTTGTTTTTCTCTAATTAAGGACGAGATTGATGAATACAGTGTTGACGCAGGCCAACATCATGCCGTAACCGTTCCAGAAACTTGCATACCACTTCCAGAGCAGGAAATACCACTGTTTCGTTTCAATGTTCCCGCAGACCCGCAGACAGTAAGTATGAAATCGATGTCTCCACTGCTATGTTTAGACTGAAAAGTGACTTGACACTTGGAATTGGAAACATTGGCTGAAGAGATGATCTGTGAAAAATTGACTTTGTTGACCTCTTTTTTTGTGTGCAATAGTTAACCTCTTATTCATAAGATGAAATATGTCTGTGTTTGATAAATGTACAAGCTTATGTACATCTTTAAAAGAGGACACATAAGTGTATGTAGATTGTGGTGGATTTAGGGTTCATCTAATGTAACCTAAAGCAGTCAGTGACATTTAATGAACAGTTATTCTTTACTTGTGTATTTTTTGGATACTTTTATCTTTATTTAGATCTGAATCACCATCACAGGTATTTCTCATTCTACTATCGTGGTTGGATGTACATCTCAAATCAATACCAGCAACTCAATGGTCAAACATTGCAGTGGTGTATGACAACATGTGCCAACTAGACAACATGATAGTTGCCAGGTCACCTCTGCCTGCGCCGTGGTCTCACACGTGGTATTCACTGAAGAAATGTGTGGACCGCTTACACATACGAAATCATACTGACGAGCAGTATAACGTGAAGTACCATCCCAAAGATCACCTTCAAGACACAGATAACACCATGATTTGTGAGCAGACATCTGTGTGGTTGTTGAGGTACAAAAAAATAGTCTGTGCCATGCCAAAGTACCGCCACTTGTTTTATATCCATCGTATGGTTAAGAGACGTGACAGGTAAACAGCTAAGTGCTACGTGCAGGGTGACAACCCTATTCTTCCAAACTCGGCTTACCCACTGTTGAAATGGGTGATGAAACCGTACAGTAACACTGGTACATGTAACTTGACAAGAAGCATTCACAACCTGCAGAATCTCATCACAGCTTGTTGCACTCTGCATAACCTGTGCAAGACTGCAGGCGAAGTCTTTGACGAAGCCTCGCTAGAAGAGAAAGTCATCGATAACCACAACAATGATAATGCCCATCCTGCCATCGATGAAGCTGAATCATTTGTACTGCCCTCAAGCAGTATGTCATGCCAACAAAAATGATGGATGGTGCTGAGATTGGTCCCGTTATTCTACCTCAATTGGATTTAGTAGTTGTGCATGGTGGTGAACACAATCGTATCCTTTTCCTGGCTGCAGAAAAATTTCAATACCTGTAACAAAACGTGTTTCTTGGTTGTGGTTTGAATTATTTTAGCTCTTGTACACGTACATTAATTGCATGTCACATACCTGTATAATATTTAAAGTACAAGTATAAGCATATTCAGTGTTTCCCCTGCCCATTCAATCGTGAGGCGGCCCGCCTCAGGACTTTTGGAGGCCGCCTCGGCCTTTTTTTGCCAATGTCGCCGCCTCACGCGTACGAAAATTGAATAAAAAAATATATTACAGTCAAATCTGTGCATTTGTGTGTGTGTGTCTTGATATTTCACCTTCTATTCTCCGGCCTGTTCTTTGAGATCGTCATTATTTTTGTTTTTCGTAACGTAAACACAACAGTCCTTCGGCCTTCAACGTGCCATGTTGCAGCTGCCGCGATGTAGATTTATTGTACGAACGTACGTAGTATGCTGCCTTTCCAATTTATGTGCACAATAGAACTTGTCGAGTCTGGGTGCATGTCGATTCGAGATTTTCGACTGAGTGACGAAGTGACAATGATCCCGTTTATGGATACATTGCGCAAGGCACGGAGGCCTCCGTGCTTAATGCAAGGCAAATTGTCCCAGAATGCTGCGCGCGTTTCGGCTTATTCGCAGTGAGTTCCTCGGGTGCAATTGGGTATGCGTGATGGTCACGCGATCGCTGGTGGCACAGCACGCATGCATAGATTATGTATGACCTGGTACCCTGCTCAGCCTGCAAAAATCTCCTGAATGGAACCTTGCACGTGACAATAACTTTCGAGGAATGAAATGACTGCGTAAAGTAAATATGGCGCAACAGTACTTGACATCATTTTTTAAGAGAGGTGTTAAACGGTAAGAATCAAATATTACTCATGGTAAACTAGTAGATTTCAACAAATAAATCTGCAGGATTTCTTTTTTTAATTTTTTTAAATCCCTAGCCTACATTTATATATATACTAGATTTGTTCTCTTTCTTTTTTAAACTAATTTATTACTCTAATTTGTAATTTTATATACTGATGCCAAATTTGCTAACACCTGGTGATTCATTGTCACAAAAAAATATGTAGGATTAAAAAAAATTGTTATCAGTAATTGATATTAATACTTATACTATAGTTAATAGGCAGGGGCTTTATATAATATAATTATAAATATACATATAGGATATCCACGAATGATGAAACAATCTTACCAGTCCTAGCAATGTAGCAGCAAGAACATTTTAATTTTCACAGCGCAATTCATAGTTCATTGGGAATGTTTGGAAAAAATCAGAAAGCAACCCTTAAACCTAGGCCTAAACTTTTTTTTTTTCAAAATTAGGATTCAGTTTTTCCCAGATTATCCGGCATAATCAACTACAATTTTTAAATATCTGTCATATTACTCATATATTTCAATTAATTAACATCTAAACAATTTTTAAGACTTTTCATAACAATTACAATTTTGCAGGCCAGCTGATAACGAGGAGAAGCCAGATGAATGCACTTCCTCAGAGTCCAGTGCAAGTACGAGTACCAGTACTATGAAAGAACTCGTCAATAGTAGTTGCAGTGAATCACCAAGCAAAAAGAAGGTATTGTACATCTGCATTGTCTTTATAAATAAAGTGCAGGGTGATGAAATACTAATTACAAAAATTATAAACTAAATCCGGAAAGAGAATGAGTCCAACAAGTAAGAAAAACTATGCAAATCTAATTCACAAAAAACTGAATAATTCTTGGCTTTCTGAATACTCCTGCCTATGTGTTAACCAAAGTTATCCTTGGAAGTGGAACAAATACATGTAATTTGAAACATTATGACAATGCCTTTTTTTTTTCTTAATTTTATTCAGAAAGACGTAGGCAAGCACAGAGTGTCCGGGTTTGACCCTAAATGGATGGAGACCTTCCAGTGGCTCCTGCGTACCTCTGCTGGCATGGTATGCACTGTTTGCAGGAAGCATCTTGTTGGGGCAGCACGAGCTCATCCATTTGTAAATGAACCATCTATCAACTACCGTTTGGATGCTGTATCCCGACATGAAAAGAGCAGCTCCCACATCTCATGCATTGAAAAGGAGCAGACTCTAAGAACAGGTACCTAAAATCATTTTCTAATTTTGCTGACTTCCCTTACAAAGTTTACAATTATATCTACCTTATTATCATTTATGTACACTTACAAACACTTTATGATTTCAAACATCAGGCAAAACACTACCTAAGATAGTTTGTGAAAGAGCCGACATTGAACACTGGGCATTGGAGGGGTGTTTTCGGCTGATGTACCAGATGTTGCGGCAAGAGGTACCACACCATACCAACTACAAAGGATTCCTTGAATTGATGGAGGATTGCGGATGCAAGTACTTCGAAGCTCTTAGGGTAAATACGCAACATGTATAGTTCTTCCTGTCATGTCCTATTTTTGGTGGCTCTTTACACTGATTTATTTCTTGTTATTATTTTGTTAATTTTTTTAAAAATCATTTATTAAAGGTTGACAGCAACACTAACTACTGTAGTCATCGCATCATTGACGAATTATTGGCGATCATAAATGACTCGGTGCTTCAGCCACTGCTTATCGATCTGCAAAAGTCACGAGCGTGGAGTATTCTGATTGATGAGTCAACTGACATCAGCGTCACTCAAGAACTTGCAATATGTGTGATGTAAGTGAGCATTACATTCAAATGTACTCTCCCCCTAAAAAATAACCTATTTTTTTCTGTGAAAATGTAAGTTTATAAAGAACAATATTGACAACAATGAAATGAATTGATACGCTTAACTTAAATTAATATTCACTGTGAAATAGAATGTGCACAATTGGAAACTTTCTGTCAAATATAAATTGAACAAATTATCAAATAAAATTGTGATTGAAAATGAGTAATAACAATATTTTGAATTTTTTTCCTTCAGGTTTCTGAATCAACACAGCAAGGTTGAAACAACCTTTCTAGACATGGTTCCTGTGACAAATGGCAAGGGGGAAACTGTCACTGATGCGATTCTGCAGCTGCTTCAGAGGCATGATCTGAGCATGAAGAATCTGCGATCCATAGCTAGTGATGGAGCCTAGGTAAAATTCAGTTGTGATTTGCTGAAGTGACAATTAGTTCCAAATGTAAAAATTGTATAACATTATTCCAATCATTATAGCCCTTCTGCATTTTTGCTTTTTTTTTCGTCAGATCAAAGCAAGGTGTTGTTGCAAGGCTTAAACAACATGTGCCAGACATCATCTCAGTGCACTGCGTGGCACATAGATTGAATCTTGCAGTGTCAGATGCAGCCAAACATGGATTTCTGTCGAGATTCGACCGAACCCTCAACAGCCTTGCAACATTTTACAACAGCAGTCCGAAGAGAACCCAGTCCCTCAAAGCAATTCAGAAGCTTCTTGAGCTGCCAGAGCTCAAATGCCAGGTATTATTCCAATATCCCAAATGTAATCATCTTATTTATTGGCTTATGTTACAACTTTAATACTTTGATATTTTAATTTTTTTTAATTTCTCAACAGGGTGGTGTGCTTACAAGGTGGACCAGTCATAGCAAGGCTATTGCAGTGCTTAGGAAAACTTTGCCTGCAGTGATTGTGGATCTAAGCAAAACAGCCATTGAAGACCCAGTTGCCAAGGGACTGCACAAAAGCATGGCAAACTTCGAGTTTGCAGCAGCGGTCATCATAATGGGGGAGGTACACAAGCGACTAGAGAGAACCTTTCAACTGTTCCAGAACAGGGATTTGTTTTTCCAGAGAGTTGACAAAGAGGTTAGAATTGTTAATCTGCATTACTAACATTGGATTTATGTAAAAGAACAAACACTTTCAACAATTATATTTAATTATATGATAAACATTTGGAATTCTCTGTAGGTGTCATCAACCATATCTTCCATCAAGCGCTTGCCAACACGCCCCATGCTCAAGACAGAATTAGTTGACTGGCTTGAACAGGGAAAACTACACGAGTCAGGGATTGTGTTCTCTGAGGAGAAGTGGAAAGATTTCATTGATCAGGTTGGGTTCAATAAAAACAGATTTGATTATATTCAAATACCAAATTAAATTACAAAGAAATCACTTCATGATCCTTATTTATTGTCCACATTTCAGGTTGCCACTCCTTTTGTGGACAGTGTGGCAGCAAACATTAAGAGACGGCTTCCAGACTCCAAGGACCTTGAGTGTTTCAAAATTTTTGACCCCGTCCAAGCTGCAGAACACAGCAATGATCCTGAGTATGGATTTCAAGAGATAGAGACCCTGGCAACGCGATTGCTCTCGCGAGCCAAGGCTCCAGGCAGTCACAAAGAAGTGACCACAGCTGCAACCAATGAGTGGGAGTCGTTCTCGTATTCCCTCACTTCTGCTGAATTCGAGGTACATGTAGGTCATTCAAAGTTTCAAATATGATCAGTTTTAGTGGTTTGAAGTCCATGGCTTACCAAGTTGTACATCATTTCATCTTTCATTTGCTCTTGCAGCACAAATCTGTGGAACAAGTTCTGCAGAAGCTTGTGAAAGAGGGTATGTATGACCTGTACCCAAGTTTGAGTACAATGGCAGCCACTGCCCTGACTGTACCCGTCAGCACTGCCGAGGTAGAGAGTTTGTTTTCTACCATGAAAAGAGTAAGTAAAATTTCAATTAACTTTATTTTTGATGAAAATAGGTGCTGTTTATGTCACTTTTTGGTTTAATGTCCGATCCAATGTACTATTTTACACAAAAACTTTATTTTTAATGTTAACATTTGCAGGTAAGGACACCACTGCGCAACCGTCTCCAGCGTGAAAACCTCAGCACCTGCATCCGTCTCTCTGGATTCAGTCCTAAACCCAGGACTGTGAATTTCGGGGAGATGGTGCGGGTGTTCTACACCAAAAATCCCAACCGGAGGGTTGAATGCAGTGACAACAAATGCGACATTTGTGGTGGAATTTAGAAGTGTTGAAGTGCTTGAAACTACTGCAAATTAGTGGCATAGCTTGCAAAAGCAAAACATCATCCCCTTCAAGTTCCAAATTTACTTTTATGAGTCAAGTGTACCTATGAATAAAACACTTCCAACATTCTGAAAAAGCTGTAGATTGGTGTTGCATTATTATTGCTGTCCTCCGTGTCCTATTTTACAAGTGTTTATAATTAATTTTGAACAAATCAATATAACTTTGACTTATAATCTTGACAGCTAATGCTCCAAAAAGTAAGAGGAAAGTGGCCAGGAAATGCCTCAGATTGCACCACAGAGCGTCTAGAATTCAAAATTTTCCGGGGCCCTTAGGCGGGCCCCGGACCCCACGCCGTAAGGGCTTCGCGCTTCCCGCTCGCAGGGTCGGGTTTTTACAAAATTTCTTTTACCACCTCACACCTATCACCAACCCAGGGGAAACACTGAGCACATTAAAAGGTATGTGAACATGTTATCAAAGTGTGTTGGTTGAATACTACTTTCCTTAATTATTGTGTTCGTTGTCAAATAGGCGACAACATCATCGCGGCTCTATTTGAACAAGGACTAAAGCAACGTGAGATTGTTGACAAGTTGGATGGAATTTACAACATTTCTATAAGGTACGTACATGTACCTTTTCTTCTTAATTTTTTTTGTGTATTAACTATTCTAATTATGGTATCCCGAGCGCATTTACTGCAACGCTCTTTCAAATACAGTATGCAACCCACTCAAGGTCGTTTTAATGTTGAGAATGTTGAAACATACAATTTATAAATGTTTACAAATCATGTATTTTTTTCTTAACTTTATGTCAACTTCAGCGAATTCTTGCTCGGATTGGCTTGAGACGGCGAGGAGGAGATTGGGCGGAAGCTCCCCATCATGTGCTTCGTCATGTTGTGGAGGTATGATATTAATGATATATTCCGAAGCCTAAACATGTCCAAACTTAAATATGCAAGTTGAAAAGCAACGCCCTGTTATTTTTATTCATTGGTCTATCTCACCTCTTGGAGTGTTTTCAGGAAAAAGGATTGTTTAAAGGTGAATCTTTTGAGGTACGTGTATGTCAGTGTACGTGTTAAGCAAATTCCTTCCTCCATGGTTGCACTTGGTAAATACTTATACGGAGGCAATAGAGATTTGGTTAGATTTGAGTTGAGTTTTCTGATTCTTTAGACTGTGTATATGAGACTTCATTTGCATGGGTCAGGCAAAAAACTCCCCCCTTTGATTTCGCCTCGCGAGGGGAAGTCACCGGAGCTGAACAATGGAGTAAGGAACATACCTTCCTCCATGAACAACCGGTAGGGTCTGGAAATACTTTTTTTGCTGATCATTTAGCTATGGTGTGCGCGAGAAGCGGGTATTAAAGGTTTCATTTTCAATGTTTTAACTTTATCTGTTTCAGACTGAAATGAACAAGCCTGGTGGAACACTGATTGGGATAAAGTCAATGTGGCAGAGGGTTAAGCAGGAGCACAACCTCCGATGTTATCGGTATGTTTCAAAGAGTTATAGTTTACAAAATCGTTTGTAAAACGGACATTGTAATTCGTTCTGAGCATCGTTTCCTGCAATACAGAGGTCCTGCAATATGCAATAGAGCAATACAAGCTGCTTCTTGCAACATCACGTGAGCCGTTTCCCTCAGCAAAAATTGTTGTAAGTGGCATCCTACCCCGGTTAGACAGTGAGGCAACAGTACAATGTAGTTCAAGAGTTAATCACAATGGCAAGCCCCGCCAAAAGGCTTGCACTGGAACAGAGAGAGATTCACATCCAAACTGTACTGAAAGCCAAAGAACAAGGGAAACAGAAGATACACGTATATATTAACCCATGGAGGAAGGAACACAAGGAGTTCGAACGAACTGGTCATCAAAAGTACCCACTGTCTTGCAGCGGTCGTAAAACAACACTGGGTAAACAGCCGCAAGCATTATCTAAATCTAATTATCGCGGCGAAGGCCACTGCAGCACTCGCCACGTTGCATTATGGGTGTACAACTGCGCATGCTCAGTTCACTAAATCTGTTTGTCAAAATAGCGGGGTACGGATGCGGCAAAGAAGATTTCGTCTATGGTTCGGATTTGAGCGATATTTCTGAAGATGATTTGGACGTGAATGAGTTGTCAGACGTTAGCAATGATTCTGAAGACAATGGTGGCCAATACTGTGTTTGTAACAAAGCGTCAACTTCAGAAATGATTGCTTGCGATGACGACCAACGCGTGGTGGCATTACGATTGCGCCGGCCTCAGCAAAGAAACAATCCCAGAGTATCTGTGGATTTGTATTCGTTGTCGGCCTGCATGTTCTACTGAAACTTCAGGTATATTTTCCAATATTAGGGTCCTAGTCTTTAATGTTTTTTTTCCCAACGAAATCCACCTGAAGGAATGTTGCAACCTGATGCCACTTTTTCTTTGTAGCCATTAGCATAGTGGCTACTGCAAAAATGTTGAAATAAAATGAAAAGACATGAATCTGGGAGTGAAAACAGTTTCCATTTGTTTTCAGGAAATTCCTAGGCCTACCATGGAAATACTTTAAAAATTCTTGATCCCCTGAAACTGCTGAAATGGTATCAAAATAAAGTCCATTCCTTTCAATCCACCTAAATTTCTTTAGAATTTGTCAACTTTGGTGTTAGTTTAAAAAAAATATATATATTTTATTGTAATCTTTAACGAGAGTAGTCCATTTCAGTTTAAGAAAACTGTTTTCCCAAAGGAGCCTACTTCAAATTGTTTTCTTCAGCCTTACAAGCTGGAAAGTTGCTTAATATCTTCATGAACGAATCTTGAAAAACATTGTTTTCCCCACGTAAAGAAGTGTCCTAAACTACATGATTACTGTCACTAGGGACTATATCACTGAAATTTTTTTTTTTTTAAGGCCCCAACCAGTTTTGTTAGGAAAAGAATATCTCTTAAAATGAAACATGTACATGTACAGTATTTGTACAATGCATCACACACTGTGTTTGCGAGCTACTAGAATAATAACTTTTTGTGCAGATAATTTATTTTAATATTCATTTTTTTTTAATTCCGAAATTTTGCAGATGTGGCTTCTGTCAGTATGGAAGATGGCCCGGAATCCACTGCGAGTACCAGCGCTGGAGTGGCATCGGGTTCAGATGGAAAGAAGACATCCAAGGCACACACAGAGAAAGTCAAGAAAGTCAGAAAAACAGGTTAACTAACATTTCTAAATTAGAATAATAGAATCACACTTTTACAGTTAATTATGAGAGACTTCTGAGAGTGCATGTTGCGAACTGACTCAATCAACACTGATAATAATTTCAGGGAGCTAAAAAGACCATGTTAATTTTTGTTAACTTGTTCTAATTCGTGTTATTTTTTAATTTCAGCTATTAAACGACCAGAGTACAAACTGCTGCAGTTTGTTCCTTCCTCCATTATAAACCCCTACCATTTTCACAATTGGTGTATTCAATGGATATGAGGCCCTTTCTGCTAGTTTGTGCAGTGAAGATTGAAGGGATAGTGTTTCGTGAAAGACACTTATTGTTACCAGGATCTTTTGGGTTCTTATGGCTATAATTATTCGAGCAAAAGTTTGCCCTATTCCTGGTAGAGCAGTGAGCTCTTTGGCGGACGCTTTGTTAATATTAGGCCAAAAAAAAAAAATATTCAGTCTCTGGTCAGACCAAAGTTCCGGAATTGACGCAGCCACGCGGATTTTTTTTTTTTTCTTCAAGCTTGGATTGTACAGACAAGGTGGGTACTATTTTGCTTGTTTGGTGTCCTCATGTACATTGGTGTCCTCCATAATTTGCCTTGATGCTTTCGATCATTTGCCTTGGTGCAATTTCCCATTCGTTGGTGCTCTTTAGTAAAAAAAAATTGAGGTGTGGAAATAGAGGGCGCTGTTGGAGCTACCGCGGAACATTTTGGAAAAAAAACAAGATCAATGCGCATGATTAAAATCGACACGCGCGCTGACCAGAGACCGACTTTTTTTTTTTTTTGGCCTTAGTTGTCATGTTAGTATGGAAACCATTCCCTTAAGTTTACGTATAAGCTGTTACGTAATGTTGTTTTAATACAACAAATCACTCTTGATACTGCCAACGCCTTCTGTTGGGAGTGATGGCCCAGCAGTTTGACCTGATTGACAGTATACAGAAATTTACTCTCCACAGATAATATGGTGTTTGTTCATGCCAGTTAGAAAATCTAAGTAATTCTTCGGTTGTAACAGCTTTTACGTTAAATACACTAGTACGGTAAGGCTTAACATTTTGAAATGCAATACTTTAAAAGAGCGATAACATGTGTGGAGTGTACTCAAAGTGTGTCGTAGCAAATGGTGAGACACGTCTGAGAAAAGCGTTAATAATTTGCCAGCAAAACTGGCAGCTGACGCATGATGGTGAATGGACTAGTGATTAACCCTAACCGCCCTGAATCCTCCAAAATCCTTTTTGCAAATTGGAGGAATTTGCAGGATTAAGGTTACATGGCAAAAGTGCGTTGCTGATTTCGGAGTACGCACTGTGTCAAGGTCTTGGGCCGGACCTTGTGTTGTTTATGCTCAGCCTAGCATAAATTTAGTCCTTGATTATACTCGAAATCCTCCGCACTGCTCCAGGATGTCACTGCCTCTGCCTAACCCATTGACAGTCATAGCCGCAGGATTTTGCAGGATTCAGGCAGTAATCACCTCTCCACGAACCATATTCAAGAAATACTGGAGGAATTTGCAGGATTGAGGCTATATGCTATTTTTCCATGAGGCCAATTGGGGGATTTTGCAGGATTGAGGCTACATCCTAGCAAAAAGGCCTAGGGAGTTAGGGTTATTTTGCTTCCAATCATGAATATGTATGAGGTATAATATTTACCTATCGCCTAGGTGTATTAACTACCTTACTCAATAGTGGCGATTTTTCCCATGCTTTGACTGGGAAAGTTTACAAACTTTCAATTAAAACTTAACCCTTTCCTAAAAAGTTCCAAACAAGACTTACCTGCCTTGAAGCAAGGAAAGTAAACAGGGGACAGGGCTGGGTTACATGCACCAAACCTGAACAGAGTCATGGGCTGGGAAGGCTGCTACATCAGAACAGGAACTGGACAGGCTCAGGAACTTGTACGGAGCAATGGCGGTGCTTCTAACTCAACCAGGTCTGTTATCAGTGATATAAAAAAAGAAACAACACAAATTAAAAATAAAAGTAATCTTCAAAATAGTCAATACAATTAAACCTACATGTACTCAAGGTATATATGTACCAAATTGAGG